AGTAAGGGTTATTGGGGAAAGATCCCCCTCTTTTTTTCCTGGAAACTGAAACATTTGTTGAAAAAACAAAGGTAAATAAAACTGTTAGCACATCTATGTTAAACACAGTGCAGCATAAAGAAGCAACAGAGTGAGGTTTGTCCCTCAGAATGAATATTGGATTTTAACTGAATGGAAATATTGCTCTGTTTCTGCTGCACTTTGAAGCTGCTACACCTTTTGAATGTTTTGATTGTCGATGGGTGTTTTTTTTATTGTTCATCTTGCATGAAGACAGGATTAAATGTAACTATATAGCTCTTCAATGGACAAAAGTAATTTAAAAAAATTGGAAATTAAAACAGGCCGTTTTTTCTTGAAAAGTTTGTGCACTAAACGTGTCATTTAACTCAGGGATTAGTTTGAATTATCATAAAAACCCCTGCAAAATTCAATGAGCCCACCTTTTAAATATGACAACATACCACCTCTGTAGTTTTACATTAGACTATATTAATCAAATATCACAAAGTGTAACTTGCAGGATAACCAGCAGGCCCTCAGTGTCTTATTTTGTGTTTAGCTTGCTGATAAAATGTGTGTGGTTCCCTGGAAACTCGTGGCATCTCAGTCAACATGTCTTTAAAAACATTCCAGAGAAATGTCACGTGACATGAGACAGTAAACAGAGAGTGCAGGGCCAACCGGAACTATGACAGCCCTGGGTGTTCTTCTGTGTTCTTAAGATGATCAAAGTCTGGTGGTTTTAATGACGCTGAAGTCTCCTCTAAGGGATCTTTAAAGGACTTGTCTTTGTTTGAACTTATTAGAGCTGGTTGTATCCCTGCTTTTATGATGCTGCAGGAATCTAAGTGAATGGCTGAATACTAGGAAGTCAGGAAAAAGAAGAGTCAGTCCCCTGCCCCTTCCCGATGAGGAGTCATGCAGTCTGCAGCTTTTAAGCTGGAGTTTTTCATAAGATGCAAACTGCTCATTGGCACACATGCTCGGTCATTGGATGTTTTTAATGGTTTTTGAATTTCCTGTCTATTTTCAAACCTTGTTCAATATAGCTATATAGAGATTGAATTCAACTAAAATGACTTTATGTGGTATTAATTACTTTGTTTTTCTAAATTAAGAATACCAGCCTTTCACATTCAGCAGCACTGAAACAGAAGGCACGTTTGAAACAAATGTGAGACGTGGCTGCAGCTTGCAGAACAGTGAAGCTGACCTCATCCTCAGGGGGAGGATCACACAATCACAGACTATAAATGTAATAGTCTCAGCATTTTACTTTTTAAGTGAGGCCAAACAAAAATGCCTTAAATGCGTCATTGAATGGAACCAGCAGTGGAAATGTTCTCAGTCACTTGAATTAAGTCTTTTCCATTACACCACATTGATAATCGAGTAATTTATAGTCACATTAAAAGTGGAGTTGATGATAAAGCTGGGTATGCTTTTGGCACAAAAAAAAAAGCTAAACTCAAGGTGGCATCACTTGGTGATATATCGTCAGCTATACATCCACATTATGAATGCAGTCATCATATCAAATGAATCAAAACTACCTTTATTCCTGATTTGAAGCAGTCCAGAATATACACACACCCCTGACCAGGCAGGAACCGGATCAACGTTCATTATTGTGATGATAAAATCAACTGGAGAACTGTTTTAGCGGCAAACATCACAGGGTTTGTTACTCTGATTGGTTTTAAGTCTTCCTGATTGAATCCAAAGATATATTGGTGGGTCAATGCAATGCCATGATAGCTGTCACTTCTAGGTTGCTCTTCCCTTTTTGAGCTCCCAGGGTGGTCTGTTACAATTCATTTACATAAGCTTTCCATTCAAAAGAAAATCCTAACATGAAACCAACAATACAGCTAAGGTCCAAGCTGAGCCTTTTCTGCCGTTGCCTTCATTGTAATTAAATGCATTCTGGATCAGATTTAAATGCCTAGCAGAATGAAAGATTGGGTAATAATGTGGGTGTTGTTTTTGCCGCAGACTGCACTGAGGCATGTGTTGGGAAAGAGACAGCCTTGACTGTGTCCTTGTCTTATGGGGAAAAAAAAAAGAGCGCTGCTTCCTGGAAAGAATTCAGTTCTGTTTGTTTCCACAATAAGCCAGTCTTATTGGGTCACAGTGAACACACCCTCAAACCCTCATGTCTTAACTGAACACACAATTGAATATTTTGAATTATTGTGAAGGTGCAAACAGTTTTTGTCTCTTGTTGAGCATCGAGTTGCTTTATCATGTTCTTAAAGTGACACCAGCTTTGCGCACAGGCAAACTTTCTTCGTAAGAAGGGCTTCATAGATTCCTCATCCAGGTCACCGATGGAAAACCTGTCCACCTTGGCTAACTCCATGACTGTCACAGCAAAGCTTTTAATCAATCCACACAATCCAAGACTGCTGTGTACCTACAATGTTAACATATTACTTTAGCCCACACCATGATCATCTTGTTAAAAATTGGTCACAATGTGGTTAGTTAAAGTTAATCAACTTCTCAGGTCATGCTTTGGCTAGTTCAATCAAATAGTGACTGGATTACCCAATGCCAGCTGAAGAGAAACTAAATTAGCAAGACCTACAGTACTGATCTAGGTAATACCTAGGTATGGTATCATAACCATACTCATCTCTTCATACTTATCAGTCAGTTCACCAAACAGAAACGCTACTGTGTGATCTTCTGTTATCAGAAATTTAGCAGATGACAAGGCAAATTCCCCGGGGAGCAATAAAGGTTTCATTCATTCATTTTTTTGTTTTGTTTTTACAAGTAACAGAAGCATCTGACATGGAGGAGTTGAGACTTTGCCAGGGCATCACATCTGTACTTCCCTCCCCAACAACCACTTTTCTTCACAAGCTTAACACTACAACTGTTTACTCACAGTTTGAACATAAGAGAGAAATCATGTCAATCCAAACAGGACATTGCTCAATTAGTGTTTCTGCAAAACATCCAAGGTCCATTACAGTTCACTGTATTTGAATACAGCAGTGGGTTTCAACATGAGGAAATCAACATATCCATCATATTGAAACTTGCTCGTCACTCCCAAATACACAAAGCATTTCCTTTCTATTAAAAACTCATGTCTACTTTGAACAAGGCATTAAGATTTACATAAGTCATTCTGCTGGAAACTGACCCAAGCTATTTCAACTTTTACACCGCAGGTCACATTTAAATGTGACCTGCGGTGTAAAAGTCAGAAGACTAGAAAAGCACTATACAAGCTCAAGTCCATTTACCCTTCATCAATGGCAGAGACAAATGGAGCCTTTAGTCACAACCGCTCTTGTGTGCACAGTGGTTTGCAGTTTTTACCTGCAATAAACAGGTAAGAATTTTTAGCTAGCTGGCTCCTTCATATTACTTCAACCTTAAAGGATCAACCAATCGACTTAGTTACCATGCTAAGATCACGCCCCAAACAGCTAGCTGCTGTCCAAGTATTCCATCAGATTAATTTAGGACACACTGACAGCAAGGAAGAGTTTACACAAGCATTGTGTAAACATTGCACAGAGCAGAGTCACCTATTACTAATTGCTTGATTTCTGATGATCAAGAGAGTGCATGTATTGGTTGTTGACATCAGTGTTTACGTCATTGAATGTTGAACTTTAAAGGTCGAGTCGGTAGAGTTTCCCTAAAAAACAAAAGAGACTTATACAAAAGCAATGCCACTCAATCATCATTTATGGGCCCCCAAACAGCGTGGAGGTCATTGTCTCTGCAGAGACCCTGTCCTCTGCCTGAGTATGGTCTTTTGCCTGCTCTTTTGAAAAGCACCTAGAGATAACACTTGTTACAAATTGAGGCTATACAAATAATGATTGATTGATTGCCTGGTTGGAAGTTTTTTGATTGGTAGCTGGTGTATATCTCCCAGCCAATGACAGCGTGCAGGTCAGTTTGGGACTGGATAGAATTCAGCAATTGGATGTCAATTCAATTTGACAGACAGGTACACATCGATAATATCGTCATGGTAAGGTAATACGCCAAGTGGATGAAGCTTGTTCCAAAATGAGTGTGAACCTTTGGTTGGCTTTCACTTGCAGACGTGGAGTTGGCCTTCTTTCTATTGGATAAGCAGGTGCCAAACACCAGCAGTTAGCTTGTGCTGGCGTGCGGTAGCTTGCAGTTTAGGTAGAAGCACTAAAAGTACACTGTTGATAAGCAAACAAAAATAAAAAGATAAATACTGCCGCCCCAAATACAGGATTTGAAGTCCCCACCACATTGAAGAGAATTTTCCCCTCAAATCATTCTTTATTTCTATTTCAAGTTCTTCTGCTTTTTTTTTTACGTGTATATGGTCGTAAAGATGGGGTGAATTCCCCTGTCATCTCATGTAGTACACGTTTCAGTAGGTCTGCATAATGTGCTGCATTATTTCATATCGTACCACATGTTCTGTTATCAGTGTTTGTCTGTGGGGTGTGTTTTTATTTACATGATTTTAGGATGAATGAACTGAACTTTGAAGATTTTGGGCGGAACATATACAGCAGTCCCCTTCCTCCACTTTATTGTTACATAATCAGATACATCCGCAGCTTCTTATGAGTTTTATTTATAGTGTTTGGACTCCCAAGATGAGAGGGAAGGCCATCATACTGAAAACACAAAACAAGGTAAGAAAAAATCTGAGATAAAAAGACTATTTCTAAACACCTGTTCCAACTTCCAACTCTCTTGTGTCAAGTATTCATGTTGATGTTTGTATTTTTGCAGAAGCATCAGAAAAGTGACATTTAACACAGATACTCCACTTGTGAGTTCATCCAATTGTCCACACAAGTCAGTTTTAATCATGTTTGTACCTAATTCCACTATTGTTAGAGAATGAATGCTTCAATGCACTATACACTTTTCTGTGTGTTTGCGTGCGCTCATGCGTGCGTGCGTGCGTGTTTGAGGTAGTTTATAACCTCTGAGTTCAAACAGAGCTCCATTCATGCTGAGGCTTCCTCTGATGCATCATAGAGGGAAGGACTGACAGGAGGGTGTGACTACATGAAAAAAGTAATACCCTATAAATGTTGTAGCCACCTCAGTATGAATGGTGTATTGCTTCAAGAGCTCCAGCTCTGATGTAGTCATTTAAGTGAAGTTAGTCAGTGAGCAGAAACAGAAAGAGAGGGAGCGCGTGCTAGTTTGCGGTGTGTTCAGGGGGATTTCTAGTCCGCAGTGCAAAAGTGTAAGAGTGAGGAAATGTGTCAATTACTGGTGAAAATGCGTGCCGCGCAAAAGGTGGCGGAGCGCAAAAGGTGGCGGAGCGTAAAAGTTAAAGAAAATAAATGGAAAGTTTGCGCCTGACGTCAAGCGATGTGGGGTAAGTCAGTTAATTTTCTTATATGAATCAGACGCATTAAAGAGAGAGTTCTACCTCACAGCTGTGTAGCCTCAAAGTCCAAACAAGGAAGCAGGCTGTGACTGACAACTTTGAATTCAATTTGTTTGAATTTGTGCAACTTCACAGCGAAATGTCAACACCTTTTTTTTTTTTTTGTTGCTCAGAATGAGACTCTGCTGAACTATTGTAAGAAGTTTGAGAGGGTTTTAGTGGACGCGCAGCATAACTCGGTCGGGCACAATAGGCGGTTTTGCGCAAAGATAAAAGGAAGTATGCGGTGTTAAGCAGAGATAGTAACATGGTCTTCCTCTTCCTTCTTGATTTTTTTCAGAGTTATTGAATGACTTGGCCTGAAACGCTTCTCTGTGACCTGGTGGCAACTTGTCTGCAGCTTTCAACTGTATGCTGAGGCAAAGATGCTGAAGGAGCGTCATATGAGCTGCACCTGGTAAGAAACCCCGCAGAAAATGTCCTTGTGACCCGCGTGAGCTTTTGTAGTTTGATCCGGATCGGTATGTGAAGCTTGGCTGGTGAGCGTCACCTCCTGGAAAGAGTCAAGAGTCTTAAGGAACTAGAAAGCAGTGGGCGTCACTTAAATACTTCATAAAATACCACAGTAAGTGAAGTCACTTGCAGATGCTGCGTTCAGGGGCTGTCGGAAACGGGTAAGACTGCCGTTAGGCGCTCATACGTCATCATAAATTGGGCTTTTGTTACACTAATCAATAAGAAGACTGAATGCTTTTCATTTTAAGCATTTAAGCAAGGAAGAGTTTACACAACAGCCTCATAAATATGAGGATAAAAAGAAACAAGGTGTCGACTTGAAAGACAACAGTTTGTGACGTTGCATGTTGTAATGAAACATGAGACATGCATAGAGATTTAAAAATACCTGTTTGTTAGCTTCGTCAGTGACAAGACACTTAACTCAAGTTGCTTCCACTGCTTTGTCAGCGGTGTATGAATGTGTATGAATAGTATCAGTTATTACTGATGGACACTTTACAGAGCAGCCTCTCCCATCAGTTTGTGAATGGGTAAATGTGACCTGTGGTGTAAAAGTCAGAAGACTAGAAAAGCACTATACAAGCTCAAGTCCATTTACCCTTCATCAATGGCAGAGACAAATGGAGCCTTTAGTCACAACCGCTCTTGTGTGCACAGTGGTTTGCAGTTTTTACCTGCAATAAACAGGTAAGAATTTTTAGCTAGCTGGCTCCTTCATATTACTTCAACCTTAAAGGATCAACCAATCGACTTAGTTACCATGCTAAGATCACGCCCCAAACAGCTAGCTGCTGTCCAAGTATTCCATCAGATTAATTTAGGACACACTGACAGCAAGGAAGAGTTTACACAAGCATTGTGTAAACATTGCACAGAGCAGAGTCACCTATTACTAATTGCTTGATTTCTGATGATCAAGAGAGTGCATGTATTGGTTGTTGACATCAGTGTTTACGTCATTGAATGTTGAACTTTAAAGGTCGAGTCGGTAGAGTTTCCCTAAAAAACAAAAGAGACTTATACAAAAGTAATGCCACTCAATCATCATTTATGGGCCCCCAAACAGCGTGGAGGTCATTGTCTCTGCAGAGACCCTGTCCTCTGCCTGAGTATGGTCTTTTGCCTGCTCTTTTGAAAAGCACCTAGAGATAACACACAATTGAGGCTATACAAATAATGATTGATTGATTGCCTGGTTGGAAGTTTTTTGATTGGTAGCTGGTGTATATCTCCCAGCCAATGACAGCGTGCAGGTCAGTTTGGGACTGGATAGAATTCAGCAATTGGATGTCAATTCAATTTGACAGACAGGTACACATCGAAAATATCGTCATGGTAAGGTAATACGCCAAGTGGATGAAGCTTGTTCCAAAATGAGTGTGAACCTTTGGTTGGCTTTCACTTGCAGACGTGGAGTTGGCCTTCTTTCTATTGGATAAGCAGGTGCCAAACACCAGCAGTTAGCTTGTGCTGGCGTGCGGTAGCTTGCAGTGTAGGTAGAAGCACTAAAAGTACACTGTTGATAAGCAAACAAAAATAAAAAGATAAATACTGCTGCCCCAAATACAGGATTTGAAGTCCCCACCACATTGAAGAGAATTTTCCCCTCAAATCATTCTTTTGGCTAATGAAAGATCCCTCTATTAATACAGGTTCTATCTATCTAATCTGTAAGAAAACGTCTTTCACTGAAACAGATTTTAAAAGATCAAATTTAAGCCTAAAATGAGTCCAAAGATTTTCCTCTCCGCTTTAAGATCGTATCACTTTCCCACCAAAAGTAAGATAAGCTGTAAATGACTTGTACATGTGCGTGTGCGTTCGTGTGGGTGTGTGTGTGTGGTGTGTGTGTGTGTGGTGTGTGTGGGTGTGTGTGTGTGTGTCTTTAAGGGAGTTTCATAATGAGTGACACGGGGATTCCCTGCCCCTGTGTCCTTCATTCATGTGGCTGGAGATTGAGAAGTAGATGTCAACCAGATGTGGGCTGAATATTCAGTAAGAGAGGAAAAGAGAGAGGGTGTGTGTTTGCATGTTTTATTTATACAACCTTTATTCTAATAGGTTTCTTTTTGAGAGTGTGTGTGTGTGTGTGTGTGTGTGTGTGTGTGTGTGTGTGTGTGTGTGTGTGTGTGTGTGTGTGTGTGTGTGTGTGTGTGTGTGTGTGTGTGTGTGTGTGTGTGTGTGTGTGTGTGTGTGTGTGTGTGTGTGTGTGTGTGTGTGTGTGTGTTTGGGGGGGAATATTTTTTTTGATAATGATTAGGTACATTCATTAGTCACTCAATATATCTGTGAGTCTGTGGTATAAGTGTGTGTGTTCATGCAATGTGGTCTTGTCTTGTCTTTATGCATGCTGTGCACTTTGTCTTTGTTGCATGACTGTAATTATATCTGACTAATTATTATATTGACAATATTACTATTTTTATTACTACAAGTATGTAAGATGATGTCTGTATGTGCATCAAACTGGTTTTGGTTTTTCTGTGTGAAACCACGACATTGTCGTCCAAATGCCTACTTGCTGAAGAAATCCATGAGTCAGTGGTGGGAAGTTTCTCAACCAACAGGTGGATTGTGTGTGTGTGTGTGTGTGTGTGTGTGTGTGTGTGTGTGTGTGTGTGTGTGTGTGTGTGTGTGTGTGTGTGTGTGTGTGTGTGTGTGTGTGTGTGTGTGTGTGTGTGTGTGTGTGTGTGTGTGTGTGTGTGTGTGTGTGTGTGTGTGTGTGTGCGCCCTGTGTTTGTGTGTGTGTGGAGAGGGGTGGATATGCTGCTTATTAATTTCCTCTTCTTGCTTTGTAGTGACCTCGGCAGCACAAACTTCCCTCACACACACACACACACACACACACACACACAGTACAGTGTGTGGGATGTTAACTTAACTCTCATATCACTTCTTTTTTTTTTTACAACGACACAGGACTAAAGATTACAGTTGAAATACCTGATGACAGATATTATGCAGACTTGCATGATCAGTTGGCCAGCTTTTATTGTTTTGAAGATGGTGAATCTGTAGCAAAAAAGAAAGTCAAACAGGTTTCGGTGATCTGTGAAAAATGTAATGGTAACTATGGCTATGCATCACACACAAATATCTGATAGCTAAGACTTTTCTAATAACATTAAGCTTCTTAAATCCTACATTCTGCGTTTAAACAAAATGTAATCTCAGTTTTAGCTTCAGTTATACACCGTGTAAAACACCACTAGGGGCAGTGTTATCTTATAACTGTGTGACCAAAATAAGTTTAAAATTCAATCATTTAAGCAGCGGGTAAAGTTAACATTTAGTGGCCATATCCTACCACATAGCAAATTTTAAATGCTATTAGAGCTGTCAGAGTAGGCCACAGTTGAGATTTTCAGTTACTATTATCTCTTACGATTAGCTAACTAGCATATGGCTGGAAGAAGTATTCAGTTACCGTCTGTCAATAGAAAATGTATCCGCAACCATATTGAACAGGCTACTGATAAATGATTTTTGATTTTTCAAAGCTAAAATTTACAAAGAGTGCACAAAAAACATTTTAATATCTTGGGATTTTGGACTGATAATAGAAGAAGAAATGTATGCCAGCAAGGGATCTGGGGAGTTATATTAGCCTCTCTTCTCATAAAAATCCACAGAATTGCATGTCCGGGGTAAGAGGTCTTGAAATCGGAGGATAAGTCAGTAGCCTACAGTAGCATTGGATCATGGGAGTTGTCTTCCTCTTTTAATGACCAACATTGCCAGTGGAAATCATTCTGAAATCACTCAGTGAGTCAGAAGTCACATTAACAAGGACATTTATGAAAAAGCAATCTTGTTTCTTTTAGTGAGGTTAGGTGTTGTGATAAAATACAAGCTATTTAGCTAGCTAGCTTACATTTACTGTTTTGTCAACCTTTCTCCCTCTCTGCTATATCATTCAATGTATCTGTGAAGACAGTCAACTAAATGAAACACATTGTTACAGCTAATAAAATGACAGATTTAACTAGGAATGAACAGAATTTGAAACATATGTAGTACTTAAAGTGCAAAAATCAACAAATTATATAACACAGTTGTCATTTTTTAAACACATTTAAGGACCAACTGTTACATTCAAATGTTCAATTAACAATGAAAATAACAATAATAAAACCTTACTGGTATACCTTTTTAGTGTATACCTAGATAAAATGACACAACTGTCATAAGCGAAAAACGTTTCTTTTAGTGACAATGCTAAAGTTCTAATTTGGTCGAGGCTTTGTTTGCGCAGCTATAAGCATATAGACTGAAAACTGGAAGCCAGCTTGAATAACCATTGCTGCTTTCACAATTCATTCAATAAAGGAATTCTTTCACCATGGATGGATCCATTTACTATGAAGTAGTGTCACTTTCGTGACAACCATGGTCACAGTAAAGAATATATTTTCTCAGGTGTGGTTGTGATATGCAGCCAGTGTGTTGAGAGTCAGTAAGCATGGAAATGAATTCAAAGCAGGAACTAGTTGATTACAGGTCTTCCTGTGTGCTCTGCCTTTGTATAGACAAATTATAGGAAATAAACAGAGAGAGATGTTGTCAGGGTGACACTAGCAGAGGAGAAGAGAGAGAAAGCTCTAAGGTTCATTTAAAGTTCAACTGAATCAGTTTAGTAAGATCTTTTTCAGTAAAGCTGAAGATGTACAGGAATTGTTAGGAGAGAGAGTGAGTAATGACTTGCACCGACAACTAGCGTCATGATCAGGAGTCAAACCAGGAACTAGTGTGACAAGGACTCTGTCCTCTGCACATGAGTGCTTCATGAAAGTTGCTTTAATTTGAGGTCAGTTGATGTGTTGAAACATTTGCTGCAGAACAAAGTGAAAGGATGTTGAAAGTGTTGCCAAAACAAACTTGCATCACCAAGTGAGACGTTTTTCTTGAGCTCAGAGAGGTCTTCAAACTTAAACTTAA